TATATATATATATATGTCGTACCTAGTAGCCAGAACGCAGTTCTCAGCCTACTATGCATGGCCCGATTTGCCTAATAAGCCAAGTTTTCATGAATTAATTGTTTTTCGACTACCTAACCTACCTAACCTAACCTAACCTAACTTTTTCTGCTACCTAACCTAACCTAACCTATAAAGATAGGTTAGGTTAGGTTAGGTAGGGTTGGTTAGATTTGGTCATATATCTACGTTAATTTTAACTCCAATAAAAAAAATTGATCTCATATATTATGAAATGGGTAGGTTTATCATTTCATAAGAAAAAAATTAGAGAAAATATATTAATTCAGGAAAACTTGGCTTATTAGGCAAATCGGGCCTTGCATAGTAGGCCGATAAGTGCGTTCTGGCTATTAGGTACGACATATATATATATATATATATATATATATATATATATATATATGTCAACGTAATATTTAATTTAAGGCTGGCTTTGGGTGCTGTATATAGCTGAAGGAGATTGATTTACGAGTCTTTACGAGTATTTAAGCAACGAAGAACTTGCTTTTCAAAATATTGCATCTTCTCCTCCTTAAATTTCACATAATTATTTCTCATTGACAGATCTATCTGTCTCATTTTCTGTTACAACTGAGAAAGGAGGTTTACTTCTTGAAGTAACTTCAGAGTATATTTTCAAAGAACTTATTTTTCGTATTTCCCAGCTTACAAGTCATAGCCTAATTTTATTGGAATATTTTGTGAAAATATGCATTTAATATAGTTATTTTAATCATTCTAGGTGTATCTTATTATCATGTACACGAAAATGGTTATTAAAACGTCCCACAGTCATTAGATACAGCCATACACACGTCCTATTCGTCGGTAAATATTGTATTTTCTACACCCTTGTTATGGCCTTTTCAAATGTATGTGTTTCTCTTCACCTGTGTCGGAGCAATATTGTCCGTCCCAGTGAAGATCTGAGGCCAGATTCACGAAGCAGTTACGCAAGCACTTACGAACCTGTACATCTTTTCTCAATCTTTGGCGGCTTTGTTTATAATTATTAAACAGTTAATGAGCTCCGAAGCACCAGGAGGCTGTTTATAACAATAACAACAGTTGATTAGAAAGTTTTCGTGCTTGTAAACTGTTTAATAAATGTAACCAAAGCCGTCAAAGATCGAGGAAAGATTTACACGTTCGTAAGTACTTGCGTAACTGCTTCGTGAATCTGGCCCCCTGGACTGTGCTCACCTAATTGTATTCACCTAATTGTGCTTGCGGGGGTTGAGCTCTGGCTCTATGGTCCCGCCTCTCAACTGAGGGGTCAATCAGCTGTGTTGTCTGTAGGTTATCTAAACAAGTCGCCAACTTGTGTTCTGTTTGGCTTCTGTTCATTAATGTTCTTGTATGATTGCTGCGAAGAGTCGCATTAGAGTCTTGCTCGGCCTGTGGCAGTGCTTGCAGTTGTATATTAATAGGAATAGCCGAGGATAGGCCAATAGGCATTCTCAATCTATCATTGTTATTTTGAGATGATTTCGGGGCTTT